AACACGATACCTTGCGCTCGACAAGCCCCGTGGATGATCGACGCTGAGAAACGCTGAGCTACGTCATACAGTACTCGGCATTACGGTGCGCGGTGGGGTACAGTCTCGAGATAAGCGGTAGTGGTAGTGATGTGAAACATTCGTGGGTCGGGGCTGGTTGGCGGCATCGCCAGGCAGGCAAGCAGGCAGGCCAAGGGAGCGGTACGGTAGAAGTTAGGTGCGAGACGCGGAGCAAGAGCGGAGGAAACGGCACGGCACGGTGCGGCGCGGCGCGGTTTCGGCTTCTCGGCATCGGCTTCGGAAATGGCCGCGGGAAAGTAGAGAGCGGAGCGTTTCGTCGCTGGCTGGCAGGCTGGTTCGGTTGGTCGGTCCGTCGGTTGGTTGACCGGGTTGAATCGGTCGATCGTGGTCCAAGTTTTCGGAGCACCGTCAGCGCTCGTTCATCCGGCTGCATCGGGGCTGCGCGATCGATTCACGCGCACCAGACGATCTCGCAGACCAACATGAGATGTGAGAGCGGCGCATCACCGAGGAAACCTGAGAAGACGTCGTTAGAAAACGGAAGCGACCTCGACGGAGGCGAGGAATGGCGCTTGGTGGGTATGGTTCCTTGCTCCAGTCCGGTACGCGAGAAGAGGATGGCCAGCGACGACGGGACGACGACGAACAATGAGATCCTCGGCGCGGAGGGTGGGGAGGAGGGGCAGGGTACGTCAGCGCGAGGGGAACTGCATTCCAGAGTGGGCGGCATTCTGGAATGCGATCCCCCCGGTAACAGGAATTCGTCGAACGAGCGAGCCGCCGCCACCGCCGCTGCTAACAACGAGGACGGTGTCTGCCGATATGCGGTCGGCGCTGCTAACCGCGCTATGTCTTTCTTCGAGATGTGCCAGGTATAGTAAATAACCACGACTAACGGCTTATCGGCCGACTCATGCCGGTCTGATTGTTAATGTCCACGATTATTTAAATCGCAGTCGCGAATGTAGAAAAAAAACTTATCGGACTCTTAATTTCGCGTTTTACAACGTAACTTCCCGTTGAACACAAACTGACAGTAATATTATTACATCAATGTCATAATTTCCTACTCAATAATGTAACCGTTATGTATAACATGTGTTACATCACATTTATCTTCCAACACAGCACAGACATTCAAAAGACGTTCTAAAGACATTTAAAAGATGTTACATTCTAAGAATATTCCCAGGATTTGTAGGATGTTGTGTACTGTCTAGGTTGTGGAGTGGAAATTATAATATTGTTATAAAATTACTGTCGGTTTGTATTCAGCAGGTTTTGCGACAATTACAAGAACAAAAATCGGGCTACAGTTATTCACGAAGCTCTACTTGTCCTTTTAGATTCGACTTCAATATCTGTTCCCGCAACTGAGTCCACCCCCACGTTACAATATTCACGATGACTCCATAGAATCGACTGCAGAAATCTTGGCCAATGATGTAATGCGATACTTGTTGAAGGAGGATATCTATCTTATATCCCAGGATCCAGTCTCCCGCAGCATGAGACACAATGTATATCAAATGCTCAACAAACATAGCATTCTCTTTACGAGTATGGTAAACCGTTTAAACGTCGTCCCGGATACCGCTTATGAAACATTCATGGGGGTCGCCAATGAGCTGTTCTTACACGGCGTTATCACATGGGCCAGAATTGTCTGCTTATATGCTTTTATGGGCAGATTGGCTTTATGGGCCAGGGACAGAAGAATGCACAGTCTTAAAAAGAAATTGCCTTTATACGTCTCTAGATATGTTGGTGAAAACATAACACACTTTATCAAAGGCTATGGTGGATGGGTAAGTGAGCGCAATTATTAATTATTGTAATGAGAGTATTCAAATATTTCGTTACACAAACCTGGCGTTATTGTTTTGTAGGAACAATTATGCGTTGAGTATCCTGTAGCCGAAGAAGTTAGTGGAGCAGTTTGGCGGAGTCTACTAATGACGGGAGCTACTCTTGGTTTGATCGCCACGATCTTGTCAGTAACTTCCTGATGGAACCTTGTGACGGGATCGTGTGATCTGAGTATGTTGTTGTCAAGAAGCTTTCGCGTACTTATGTTCTGTGAGAACACTTTCAAATGAAATGTAAACAGATTTTTATAACGAAAACACAATGTTACATTTCACATCGGAACGATTCGATTCAAACGAAGCGTTGCTACGTCTATACGAGAAATATGCAAAATTAACAAGAGATACATCAACGCGTTGACACACATAATTTTCATATCAATGTCACTCGGGCTTAGAAGCATCCTACTTTTTATGTAACTCGAACATACATAGCATGAGCGACAGACAATGACGCTAGTTTCCTATTACAATACCTTATAACAGACTAGTGAAATTAGTAAAATATCTTATTTAATTCTACAATACACATTTTATATTAAAGTAATTCCTAATAATAATACTCAAAATTTTGAAGAAATTTTTTAGAAATTTATACAAGAAACAGGAATCTCAAAATTGTATTGAATTTAGGTAGACGCAATCTATTTATTTATAATTTATTTTAGGTAGAGAATATATTAAATAATAAATTTTTCGAGTATTTTTGGTCATAGAACCGATCGCAACCACACACTTTTAAATTTTAAGGGATATATGTAATACCGAAAAAAACGATGGCTACGAACTATACCATCATGTATATTCAAATAATGGCTACTTTTTTATATGTTGATATATTCTATTACACTTGCAAAAATTTTATATGCATATTCAGAATAAATACTTTTATAAAATAACGATCGTTCTCCTGTAATCATTATTGTGAAACAAGAGAAAGATTTTCTTCCGATCCCATTAGTATTAAAACACATACAAGTGTGCATTAATCGTGTTTGCTACAAAATTAATAATTTCTCATACACTATCAAGTATCGTATTATCAATGGAAGTTTACAGGGTACAGCAGAGCAAGTTACTGTTATAAAAATTTAAATATAGTTTTATGAAGCGATTTATACTATTACAAATAAAAACCCCTCATAAAATAATACAAAGACTTATTTACATGTAAGTATTTTTGTTTTCTTGGAAGACATCGAGTCCACTTTAGAGCCTTTTTAATGTATCATAAATCATAAGTGATAAGTTTTAATATACTGTTGTGTATTATAACAAAGGGGATCGATCTTAATCACTACGAAATACTATAAGTAACATTTGATGTGTATGTTTGCAAATAATCAAAAATGCTGACTATGTAAAATAACACTATCATTCTTGAAATGAACACAATTCTCCTAACTTATTATTATCTATGTAATCTAAAATTTAAAACATTTATTAATGAGGAATAATAAAAGGCATTGATGTTTAACATTTATACACAAATAATAGCTTGGAAATAAGAAATGTAATTATTTTCTGTAGAATGTCTTGCAATGATACAAATTAACAAAATAATCGAACATAAGTAACAATTCAACATTTGCATGCGGACAATTGTGTTTAAAATGACATATTTATTTAAAATAGATTACGTTATATACTAGAACTCTGACTTATTGAGATTTACATGTGCAAATGCGAAAACAATCTAAACTGTAAGTTTTTTCACGATGAGTATATTGTATAGTAGGATGCTGGGATAATAACTTGCCTCTTTTTATTTTTTATAACCAAATTGAAGGATACATTTCTGCCAAGGAAATATATTAACCATCATTTTCATCGTTAAAATCTCGTACATAGATATTTTCATACTCATGACACTACTGAGATCTAAATCACTTAAGATTTACAGTGTATGTATGTATATATGTGGATGGATGTATGTATATATATTGCAATATTTACAATATATATTATATATTTATAATTATATATATTAACAAAAGACAACACCGAACAATGATCAGAAATCTATCCCTAAGGATCTTAGAAACATGATAATGCATGATAATGTACGTATAATTGGTTTATAGCTACAAAAGTAAAGTCACGGTTCTTTCTATATATATATTACATTTTACTAGTAAAATAGTTTATTTCATTATTGTATAAGTTTTGCCATTAAAATACTCATAAATACTAAATACGAATGGATGATGAAATTCTTGACACAAGTTTGCAATCTATTCCAACTAAAATCCAATTAATTATCTACTTACGGTGCTTTTTCGGATATGTCTGATAGTTTGACAGCTAAACGTTTTAATTTCATATATGCCACACATTTTTTTTCATGAATACGAAGACTTTGCCTAGAAGTTCAAGTTTGGGTCATATACAAGAAATTTTGAACATTTACGAATTTTATTTTTTTATACAGGATAAAGTTCTTTAATACGCTGTTGTAGTTTACTGAATTGAGTGAATACAGATTATAAAATCACAAATTAGAGGGGAAATTCTGGCGAGTATATCTAACAATTTCCTTATATCTAGTCAAATTTTGCGACTGTACAGAAAACAACTGCATTTTAACTTTTACTTCAGATCCTAATGTGCATAATAGTAAGAATCAACAATTTTGGTTTAATAAATCTTCAAAATTAGATATCTATTTTGCTATTATTGATATTACTATGTTTAAGTATTATGCATTTGTGTGTGGATATATATATACTATATTAACTGTACAAACGGAAAACTCATTTCGTCTGCCATTTATATTGACAATTATAAGTAATTATCTTATTGTAGTCAACCTTCAATTAGTTAGCTAAACATATCGCCAGTGTTATGCATGTAGATAGCAATCAGATTAAATAAAAAAAACACTGAAATATGTAATAAAATTTAAAAAAAACACGATAATAAAGATATTTCTAATTAAATTGGAGAATAACTAAATAAAATTTGTAAATCTTAATTATATACTTATATTATCACATATGCATATGTATAAAGTATTAAAAATCGAGACACAATAATGCAAGAAAAAAAATTTAATTTACAACATATACAAAGTATTAATTTACAAAGAAAAAATGATAACAGTATTTTCTTGCAAGTGGATAATTGTAGTGTTCTACTTTTACATGCAGAGATGGAATATGGTACATGTGAAAGATATCACAAACTTGGCCCCCTTTAATCTGCACAATGTCAATATGAATATAATTAATTGATATTGTAAATAATTTATTTGTAAAAAAAATATATACAGAAAAAAATAGCAGAATGACATCTTTACGATATTGGAACATATTCTGTATTTAAGCATCTTTCATGAAAACAGTACACAAGCAAAAATGAAAAGAGCTATTAGACATGAATACACAGCACTGACGATATGCATATAGATAATTTAGTGTTTTTAAACATTGGCAGTTTTAGCCTGGACGTATTGTGGTCCAAAATAGAATAAAATAGTTGGGATAACTTATTTTAAACAGCTATCCTTAAAATATTAAAGGGGGAAGAAAATAAGTTTTCAGGATTCAAAAGCCTTCAATTCGCCTAACATCAGTAAAATATGTTAAATAAAATAGCAAATTTTTAGCGAAGTCACGTTTACATCGCAACATGCTAAGTATATTGCGGATAACGACACACGTTGTTCGTCTTAATGAATATAACTTTTCTTAAGATTTCCTAAAACAATGGGACATTTTTATCAAGAATCAAGAATCTACAATGATGTACAGTACACAGCAAGCGCAAATCAAATATTATCCAATCAACTTTGTGATCGGATTGAATTTTAATAATTTGAGTTCAATATTAATCATAAACGACATTATAGATGTTGTGCCACAGAGCGTATTATGTATAAAGTGAATATAACACGTTCATCACTTTGTGACATGCTTCATTTTTGTCTCGTTAACTCTTTCTTGGTTTATCACAGTTGGGGCAGAGGTGGGAAGGAAGAGGACTTGTATCACCCCAAAAAATGAAACTAGCAAGAATCCTCTATTCCTTGTAATCCCACCATTCTTTCTCATACCCTTCGTGGACATGTTCTAAAAGCACTTTTCTTCGGCTATCGCAGTATCTTTAAAAGCACACACACAAATGTAATATTATTTTGACAAGAACACAAACAAAATATCTCATTTCTTTTAAGAATAATACATAATCCTTACCTATATTTATCTTGAACCTTTTGTTTAATGTCTGCAAGATTTTCGCTCGTGATATCTCTTTCAAGATATTCAGAGAGGCACTCTGTGGCACTCTCCAGATCCTTTTGGTTATCCTCAAAAATCACAGATTGATTGTTCTTTTTCACATAATAAGCGAAAACATAAGTGTACATGAGAGTCTGTCTACAGGAACACAAAATATCAACTGCCTTTTTTAAAAATTGTACCTGAAAAGAGAGTAATATGATATATTTACAAAATAATGTTGACAAATAATGATGTAATATACAATGGTTGCCAAAAGTTTTCGATCAACATATAACTATTAACAATTTTTGTTAATGTTTTTTAATTTATAATTTAATAAATAATTTTTGTTATAATCAATTTAAGAATACAATATTTTCAATATTAGAATATGGTGAGCTTTAGTGATACAAGAGAGTCAACACAGATATTATTCTGTCATTATTCATAGAATGCTAAGATAGAACTGCATCATGAATAGAACATTTGTCACTAAATAAAAAGCACGGTCTTGTTTCTAATCTTATCATTGTATATATAAAATATATTAAGGATGCACCGGATCATAAAATTACCAGATACTGGATATCCGGTGCATCCCTAAAATATATATAAATAATAGTGGTAGATAAATTTAAATCAACTAACTTAAAATCATTTATTTATTATTATTGTTATTGTTATACCTCAATCCACGACATGTTATGTTGCTGCATTTCTTCCATCTTCTCTTTTACACTAGCATACAATTTACTTTCAAACTTTAGTGATTGCATATGGTTCATATATCTATTGCAATAAAATAAATATCTCTGTAAAGCTGATCTGGATTTTTCTTGCGCATCCCTGGCTACTTTAGCTTCCTCTTCGTCGTAACGGTTGCAATTATACCAGCTAGAACCATGCGGTTCCCAAGGTCCAAGACATACCCAACAAAATTCAGTTTTACAATTCTGATTCTTGCAAACCATATGATTGCATCCGCCATCTTTTTCGATAGTAACATTACACTTGGGGCACTCCTTTGTGTTAGCAGCAATCCAGTTTGATGTTTCAGAATCATCATCGCACTTTTTGATCCACTTGCGGAGTAAATGACACTTTACAGGATCGTGCCAGTTTTCGCCACAGTGGAAACAAAAGATATGTCCACATTTGCAAGTAACTGGTCTCGCTTCTACGTACTGCACCTTAATGGCATTATTGCAATCGGGAGAAGGGCACCATCTCAATAACCTATTGCACTGCAAAGAAGACAAATGTATTAAACATTAATAACATCCAATAAATTTAATTACATTAATCAAATATTTACTTCAACAAAGCTATTGGTGATTAAATGTTGATATTTTAATTTAACTTTGGAATCTTTGACAAGTCGCATAACACTGGCATCGTCGACTAAAATGTCACACGCGTGAGCAGCACATGCTATTGTTTGTCCAACTCCTTCTTCCATAATCTTAGTTGTCAAGTATTCACCCCAACAACCGGTACAAAAACGATGTCCACATTCCAGACCAGTCATCATCTAATGGTTTTTACAATGTTTTTTTTATTTTATTTTTCTACTGTGCTTTAAACAGTTGGTAAAATAGACTTACTGAGGATGGCAAGATCATGAAACAGATACCACATTCCTCCGTTCCGTTTGTCGGTCTTTTAGGCTGTATTACAAACATAGGTAAAGCATAATTTTTGCAATGACTTATCGATAACAAAATATAATTTAAATAAACTATACACGTACGTTTACTAACGAACTTTGGGAGGATCGGCTCCTGCTTATTAAAGGACCCTTCCTAAACGGATTAATGACGCGTGCCTCGGCAAACAACTTTTCCTGATCACCGTCGTAAAACCGTTCCATCAATTTTTCTTTATCCCATTTAAAATGATTTAATAAAATACGTGTGGTAGTAGCTGGTATCTACAAACCAATACATGTAGATAGATATAACGTCGTCTATCTATAACTTATTTCGAAAAGCAAGACTTAAGACACAATTAAAAAATACAGGCAATACGAATAGGGAACAAAACAGATTTCAATTTATTAAAAATTATGTATTCTGATATACACGATTTCTGAAATTATTATTCCCTATTACCTGTATTTTTCAATTGTGTCTCATTCTAAAGGTCGATTATGTACCTTGAAACTAGATGGAAATTACAAGTTAATAAATTCACTAGAATATTTATAATTTCATTGGACAATATTTTGTAATTTTTACCTCGTTTCAAGACGCAATTGACCACCTGATTTTACATTAGTCGCAAGTCGATCGCAAGCTTGCTTTGCAATAGTCATTCTAAAACATTAATCTAAAAATTGACACTTCAAATTGGCCGTCGACAACAAGCTTGCGATTAACTTACAATTAACCCTCCTATGATAAGGTAAATTTTCAAGATATACAGACAAATAGGATTGGATCTGATCCGATGCTGTCTTGATCATATTTCATCTAATCAATATAACAAAATGAGTAAAAAATAATAATATATATCGTGAAACTTCTTTTTCTGTTAAACGATGCATAAGCTTTATAATGGCTGTGTTCCAAATTTACTGCCAGCACTGAAAATGCTACAGTTTACGTTATATGCACTATAGATTTTCAGTAATAGCAATCACTTTTGGAACACAGCCAATATAAGCGAAAAACCTCTTAGGAGGATAATGTAGAATCAGGGTTACTTTGTTGCTGCATTATGGTGATATTTCATTTATGCATTTTTGTCGTACAATAAAGTTTTCAAGCCTGTTGATTGATTATGGGATAGAGAGATCCGAGGACCTCTCTGTTCTGTACACATTTATCGTATGACAAAAACGCACAAATGAAATAGCACTCTTAGGCAGGTATCACATTTGTCGTATGACAAAGCATTCCAAGCCTATTGATTGGCTGCAAAAAAGAAAAGTTGTGGGATCTCACTATTCTATAGCCAATCAATAAACTTAAAATCTTCGTCATACGACAAAAGTAATACCAGCCCTAGACTATATTAGACTGCTAAAACTTTCCATCTCACTTTTGTCAAACTTCAAATATGTATCTATTTCATTTTAAGCGCGACAAGTGTACACTAGTGTCATCCAACAAAGAATAGACTTAATTTTATCCATAACTCAATTGAATATATAAAGCCTATCTGAATCAGCATGGAATGTACAAGTGCAATTTTTTATTTTATTTGAAAGTGTGTATAATACATATAAACGTTTCAATCCGTGTTTTGGATCTTCCTCAGGATAAATAATTCGCAAACTCTATATAATAATTACAATTACGGTGTCATATTTACATAAATGGTTAGAATATATTCTCCAGGAAACTCCTATGCATCAAAAACATATACATCTGACCATTTATGTAAATATGATACACCATAATTGTAATTATTAGAGTTTGCGAATTACTTATCCTGAGGAGAATCCGAAACATGGCTCGAAACGTTTACATGTATTATATATACTTTTAAATAAAATAAGAAATTGCACTCGTACACTCCATGCTGGCTCAGATAGGCTTTATACATTCACTTAGTTTATTCACTAGGACCTGAATTGGAATTTTTATTGTAATTTATCCATAAATTACGAAGCTTACTTCGACAACAGTGTTGACTTCCTTTATGGAGTCAACCATGTGCTGTACAATCTCTTCTGTGGAAAGTACTTCAAAGGGATACTCGTCAACATCGGTAGCTCGCTCCCGTGGATTACCAGACTCTATTTCCATAGCAAAATCAACGTCATCGCCGCTGGACTCGTTGCCGGAGTCAACGTCATCATAAAGCGTTTCCTCCTCCGAATCCATTGTTTCAATTAGCGCGCTTCTAGTCTACAATGATGTTTCTTTTTCCCCCTTCCTCGAGTAGAGTAAACGATCAGATCGCACCTATGGACGTAGCATCGACTGCAAGAAGTTCCCAAGGAAGTGTTGCTGCGTTGATCCAATCAATGTTCCGTCCTAAATACGATATAAACGTAGTCACTTTAGAAAGAAGAAATTTATATTTAAATGTTAATACGACGTAGAATATCAACGATCGCGACGGGGGATTTACATTTTTACGTGTATTCGACGGAATTTAGAAATACTGCGGGATCGATCATATTTGGCGATGGGAGAGCGCGAACAGAAAGGCGCGCGTAATTCCGCGCGTGATTTCGAGGATCCGGACGCACCTGCCGAGGAAATGGCTTATGTCTCCGTACGTGACATCATCGTTCCCCGACGCTGCCCGAAACAGCATCCGGAGCGGCTGTCTTTTGGTATAGGTGCGCGCGCGTGATCGTCGACGAGTCGCGGGATCACGTCTGTGACGCGTCCGAATCCTCTCGGTGCGGCGCGGGAGATGATCGACGCGGATTTTTACCCGACGTCCCCGACGTTTCCGTTACGGGGAGAGAGAGAAAAGAGAACAAAGTCAGCTACCAAAACATCCGAGATGAACTCCGGCAGCGGACGCGCCAGCGGCTAATCTCACGGCGTAAGCGAAAACGTTCGCGCTCGCGCCTCGCGCTCGGTCGGCCGATTGCTGCAACTTCACGTCGTACGGACACTACACGGACGATGTGATTGACGGCCAAGCGGGCGAGTGGGCGAACGAACGTACACGTACACTTGCAGGAGTGATGTTTTCGCACCGTCGAGCCTCGGCTTCGGCGCGAAAATTGCAGGTCACGAGGCCGCGCGCGCCTAACTAAATGCGGACGGCGCCTCCGCGAGCTGTCGGAGGCGTCTACTTCGAGTTCGATTTCGCGTGCCCGATATAAATATACGCGCGAAGGACGAGCCCGCGTGCGTATACGTGCGATACGCGACGCGCGGCGCGTGTGAGCTGAAACTCCGATTCGCTAATTAGCACACGCGCGCGTTTATAATAAGGCGCGACACGTTGGTTCAAGGGCAATATCGATCGCGCGCGCGAGGAAGGACGCTCGAAGACACACACACACTCTACGGGTTCTCTCTCGGCGGGACTCTGGCGAGCATCTCGTCCTGTGTCCCCTCGTGAACGGATCTGGATGAAATTTCACACGCTGCCAGAGTCGCTCCGACTGGAGTATTTGAAGCTAAACTGCATTCGGTTTAAGCGCTCGCGCGCTGTAAGCCTCGTCTCTTCCGAGTCAATTTTAAGCAAAATCGTAAAGTTCGTGATATGTTCTTTTCGTAAGACTTGTCAGAATTTATATAAAGGCTTGTAATTTTATGCAATATCTTTACGAACAGTTTCCAGCTAGCCGTAAGATTTACGAGAAATCGTAGATATTTACGAATGATCGTACGTCTTACGATACATATATAAATAGAATTATAATATCAGTCATAAGTTCTTGCGAGTTTTACGAGAACAAGTTACGATTTTGCTTAGAATTGACCGATTTTTATTTTCTTCTTGACGACAATTCAGTATCGTTATGTTGTCATTGCGCAAATATTATAATATAACATCTGATAAATATGATAAAAAAAGCTGCGCACCGACAATAAAGGCTGTGTCCCAAAATTTACTGCCAGTAAATTTACTGAAAATCTACAGTGCATGTGACGTAAACTACAGATTTTCAGTACTGGCAGTAAATTTTGGAACATAGCCATAACACCGAACTATCATTAAGAGTCAGAATCAGGGCACTGGATAGATTTCTGACCCATCTGATGGCTAATTTCTTCACCTCTAGATAAGTTGTCGATAACTTTATCCACAAGATGTCTTCCAGATGTCTTCCAGATATCTCTCAGATATCTCCCAGATATCTCATTTATCCATTATTTGAGAAATATCTCATAAAGTTATCTAGAGATGAAAAAATTGGGATCATGCACAAAACTATCTTTATCACTTATTACTTGCGGAAGAAAGGTAAAAGTTTAGGCTGTGTTCTGATATACGCTGCCAATACTGAAAATTTTTAACTCAGTGGTCTATAATGAGATTTTAAAGTGATAAACTTAAACAATAAGAATCTCATTGGACAGTACATGTAAAAACACAATCAATAAAGAAAATAAAGGCCTATAATAGTTGAAGTTGGATCTTTAATGTTTCAATAATTTCATGTTAATTTGTGTATACTATATATGTGCATACATATATACTATTTGTAGTCATTTGAACTGCGCGTCGAATTAAGTCAGAAACAAATTAATTCGGCGCGCAGTTTAAATTACTACAAATATAGTATATATATATATATTATATGTTCATACATATATAGTATATACAAATTCACATGGAATCATTTAAAGATTTAAGCATCAAAGATCCATTATGGGCCTTTATTTCCTATTGATTGTGTAAACTTAAGTTTTAAGCTTTGAGAAAGAAATTGACTAATCACAGTGATATGATAATAATCGACGATTAGCCAATTTTTTACTGCTTAAAGGTTATGACACACAAAAAACTTAAGCAGTAAGCGAATTGGCCACGCAATCACAATAGAGGCTGTAAGGCAATAACATAAATCGTAGCGAATTCAAAATGTTGATTTGCTTAGGCCCGTTTCTACCAACATAGGTTAACTTTAATCTCGGTTCAACTTACTCTTCATCTTTTTCTAATTTCTAGAAGAAGAAAAAGATGAAGAGTTAGTTGAACCAAGATTAAAGTTAATCTACGTTGGTAGAAACGGGCCTTAGACCCAGTTCTGTAACTCACGGTTAACTCTTAACCAAGGTTCAACTTATTCATTATCTCTTTTCAATTCTAGAATTGGAATCAATTAGAAATAAGTTGAACCTCGGTTAAGAATTAACCGTGAGTTGTGGAATTGGGCCTTACTGCTTCAGTTTTTGGTGTATCATAGGGTGCTTTCCAGCAAGAGACAGACATGACAATGGTTACCTTTCATTTACAATGACATAAGTTGACACAAATGTCATTCTTTCTTTCTTTGCATTCTATGAGTAACAAAGACAGAACAATACTTGTGTCGACTTGTGTCATTTAAATGGAAGACACCCAATGTTCTGTTTTGCGCTTGCAACGCTCGAAAGCATCATTTATCCTTGTTTAATATTTGATAGATAACAAGAATGTACTGAGGCTTACAGCGTGTGAGCGTGAAAATGGAACGCACTAATAGTGTAACACAATGAATCATTACATCTTTGTTATTTGTCAAATATTTGCTAAATAAAAATGAAGATGATCATTATGTTAAACTATGGGTGCTTTCTATTTAGTGAATCTTTTCACAAGTATAACGATGCTTCTTCGCATTCAGTGAATAACAAAGAATATTGTCGACTTATGTCACCAAATAGAAAGCATATTGCTGAAAAGCACCAATAGTCTTAAGGCTTAAAGCTTAAGATTACTCATTGTAGTTACTGCTTTACGTATAATACAGTCATATACTGTAGTTTAATTACTGGCAGTATATATCAGAACACAACTTTACAACGCGCGAGCGCCCAAACCGAACACAGTCAAGGTGATAAACAAACCGAAGACACGTACGGTTGACGTTACGTTGCCTCGTCCACCTTCGTCGTCAAACCTGCGTTATATTTGCGTTCGACACGATTTTTGCCGAGGAGGCGGCAATGTTCCAGCGCGTCGGTTGACGCGCGGGGATCGCGGAAAATTCTTCGGAGGATCTCCGTTGTACTCGCGAATTATTACCGTCGCACAAGTCACAAAGTCTTTAACAAGGTCGCGTCGCGTGCAGGTGTTTCTCCTCGTCCATCGCGTGCACAAGCTTCGCTTTGTTGCGAGCGACAACGGACAAAGAGGATTCGTGAGTCCGCGATGATCCGCGATCACGAAGAACCATTTGCCATGAAAGGAACCGAAAGCAACCGAAAGAGAGACTGAGGCTACTGAGGAATAGCCAGAGAGGGAGAGAGAGGGGAGAGAAAGCCTCGAACGGGTCTATAGCCCGAACGCTGCTGCCACGTTCGCGACAACGCGCGACATTGGATTCTTCGGCGATCAAATAACGAGCGCGTAACCGTTTTTCATCGTCGTTGTCGTTTAATGATATAAAGTCACGGTGTCGTGTTCACGGAGCCGAGAAATCACACCAGGAATTTCGCGGGACTATCCTGCGAACGGTGTATACGAATCGCGTATCCAGCACGCGAACAAATTGACAAACGGTCGAGAGCTGCCTCTGAAAAAGATTACTGCCAGATTACAGACGAAACTGTCATGCTGACAGCACGTGGTGGGGATCGTAGAGAGTAGCGGGATACGTCGACAAGTGCTAGCAATACACGCTATAGGGTGACAAAGAAGTTTGGAGACGAATAATATTTTCCACTGGGATAACTAGTGCAACATACTGCAATGGTTCACGCTGACAATTAGTGCAATTGAATACAAATCAATTCACATATTTTCAGTGTTAATTCTTTTTATGATAATAGGAAGTCGAATCGATGTCTTCGTCAAGATTGGATATATTCCAGATACTAGATGATTCGAGAAATCGAATAAAACCAGTCCTACATGGTACACAATACATGGCCATAATAGCAAACTTTGAACAGCATTCAAGGGATTCATTTTACAAAGTTGTGGAATTTTTTAATCCTTTTTTGATGCTCTACAATCTTAGGTCTCAATGCTGTTCAGCCGGGGCCCAAACTGGACATAATCCTTTTAAGATATTAATACAAACGTTGAGCTTTAAAATTTCATTTCTACAAATATAGCGTGATGAACTTGTGACTTATGATTTCAACACAGTTCATATTTGTTCAATATGAACACCACACAATGGAAGTATCGTTTGAACAACAGCTAATCAACGTTTTTCCGTAAGAGCTCTAAAATGTTATTACGGAAATATGTATATTGATTGTCGCGAGAATTTCCGCTGCATGGTGATGTGTTAATTGATACGACCTGTGCATCACATTGGTTAATTGTCTACATAGATGACACCTTATACAATAGTTTACGTTGTTTATACGTAAATGTAGAGGAGAAGGTGGTATTATGGCCAGTGTATATATTGTGGTCTCCCTTAATATCTCTGCTATTATATAGCGAATCCTAATGATTACTTATGGAATTATTAGTTTAGTAGCTCACCGTTACATGATGACGCTAATATTACCAATACTCAATAACCAGCGTTTATTACAACACATTTTTACTTTTAATATATTTCGAAACGTTTCTGAGGTACACTTTAGCATTTAATTGCACCTATAATACTTCCTCATTTTTCTTAAACTTGAGCGTATTATCACATGAATATACGTATTTTTGAGTGTGTTATTTGCTATTTAACATTTTATTTGACTGTATATATTTTGAGTTATACAAATTTAAACAATACCATGGCATTTTGCTAATGTAGCCCTCTATAGATATTGATTATCACCTCATTTTAGAGATTTTCATATCAAAATAGTTATTTGATAATCGATTGTAGCTCTACTGTTAATCTATAGTTTATATTGCGTGTATTTTTAGTACTGAGCAGCTTATATGCAGAAGTTATATGTGAATGTATATTCATTTGCATACATTTTAAAATGTTTTACTTTTTTGTTAATTTTGTAACCAAACACTGTTTTCTAAACAAAACTAATACTTTAAGGTTATTTTTATGGAAGGCCACCCATTTTTTCTTCGAGTCATTATGCAATGTCGCCACATTTTTATTAATAGTATCCTAAGTAATAAATATTTCGTAACTTTGAATCCAGAATCGATTCAACAACATTTTAACGAATGTAATTGTCAAATTTTAAACTTAAATATTGATTATTAATAAAGTTATTGTGTAAAATGTAACTATAATTAAGGGGGGATCCCACCGCTAGCACCCAAAAATCATTCTTTGTGAATTTTTGGGGGAAAAATGAATAATTTGATTGAAGAATCAATTTGAAGGTTTTATTATACATCTTTTCTAGTGCAAAAAATAATTTTTTCATCTCGTTTGGACGACAAAATGGCGGCTTCCTGATTATGAGAACACTTTTCGTGAGACGGGCTCAAACGGTGTACATGATTTTGACAAAACGGTTCAATCTATGCAAACTAAAAAAAAAAGACATCATTTACACTGTTATAGTTATCGTGTCACATAGGGATTTTAAAAAATATTGATTTCTCTTGAAATGGCGTTGGTTTGAAAAAAAATCGTCTTTAATTGTCGATTAAAAAAACTGCAAAATATTTTGCAAAAATCCTACGTCACACGATAGAAAATGTTGCTAAGGATATTCAAAAAATTTGAAATCAATCGGATGAAAACTTTTTGAGTTATCATGTACACCGTCTCGGAAATGCAGTTTTGAGAAAAACGCGTTTAAAGTGGAGCATACGCTTTCTTGATGTTTACTAATGGCGTCACTCTCACACTGAAACCGACACTGAAATTGCTGAAATTGGATTTAGTACAAGTTGTGACATCTATAGATATCATCCAGAACTCATATTATGATGAGTACATAGTTTTGTATACCTGCAGGGTCCGGGCGGATTACAAAAAAGGCGGAGCTCCGGCCTGCCGCAGCTGAAATTCACTTTCTCGATCACTTTGACCTTGAATTTCGCTTCCGAATCTTTTTTCTCGTATTCTTAAGGGTTCAAACCAATGATTAAAGCAATAAAACAAATTTCTTGAATTTTGAAACCTCAGGGGTGGGATTCCCTCTTAAAGATGTTCTGGCTATACAGTCCCAGACAAAAGTTACTCAAATTTGAAATTGATGAAATTCTATACTTTTATAAGTATGCGCCGTATCGTATATAGAACCTAAATAATTAGTTAATGTGATATTTGGTATTATAAATGAATATTTGACATTATAAATGAAATTTGTACTTTTTATAATCGTCGGTAAAAACTTTTGGACGTGAATTTTCCTTGAAATCAACTGTAAGAAACGAAAGACGTGCCGCATTACGTTAATAACGACGTTAATAACATTTAATGTATATCAGACATCCCTAGTGGAAAATAAATTTTAACGGAAAAGTACAGAAAAACTACATAGATTGAGAAAATCTTAGAAATTTTTAATTTTTCGTAGATATTCATAGTGGGACATAGAGTAAGATTGGTGCCTGTTGTTAATATAAAATCTTTTATACAAATGATATATTTGAAATAAGTAAATAATAAGGATAGTACTACTTGGGTTTTACTTTTTAATTTGATAGTCTTTTACGCACATGATACATATCATTAGAGTTAAATAAATATGTCATTTATAAAGATAATAGCACTTAGGTTGTACTTTTTAATTTGGTATAGCAGTTTTTTTCAATACTTATCATTTAAGTTTTATCATAGTTATGTTTTACCATATAAATAATTTCTTTCGATAAGCACACATTCTTAGCGTCTTTTTTACCTTTTTTTTTTAAAAAAGGTTTAAGTGTGTTGTGTCCGTAAGCGTTGATAATTATATGTTTACGCTTACCGCAGTTAGTTTATATGCGTGTCAATTTATTATATCGAAACACTGACAAGGAATTGGAAATCACAGGATCTTGTTCGTGTTAAAATTAGATTTAATATTGAACTGATTCTACACTTTTAATATACGTCTTTACTCTTCGGAATATCGCAGTATATCTCTCTCATCTCTCGCGTGCTCCTCTCTTTATCTCTCCTTGGCCTTCTTAACTTTTCCTTCTAGAACATTCTAGATCTTTTCCTACTAGAACATTCTAGAACTTTTTCTTCTAGAACATTCTATAACTTAATGATAATGAAGAATTTTACATCAGTTGCACAGCTCCTTTTTCTGCTGAACGCAACCATTACAAAATAACTGATATTCTGTAGTCTTGTAAATAAAATTATATACAGATCTTTCTTTTGTTCTTTGTCGCATTAGCAATGTAAATAATTTGTTGGTCCTAAAAGGTTGTCAATGCACAAGTCCACAGCACAAAATATCTCATTACCAATATCAGTGCGATCAATTTGTTACGGATTAAGCAGAAATATGCACGACTCTGTGTTCCCACCCTAACACTCATTAGCTCTGGCTCTACCCAGTTAGAAAAGATGAACCGTGCAAGAAATTCAGCTAAAAAGAACAGACCTAATATAATCCCCGTGCACAGGAACAAAAAACAAATTTAAGATTTAACTGACATACTCCAAAGTATGTTTTTTTATACGTTACTATTCAGACAGTAAATTGACGTTATTTGACATCAAAATGACAACAAATAATATCAATTTGCAATCCGAATAATGATTTGATAATAAATACACAAAACTTTATAGCCAAACTTTATTATCACTCTGTAGACATAAGCTCACGTATCCCCTCCAATCCTCGCATGCTATTAGCATGTTGTTCCGTCTGCAACCTGGTTAGGTACTAAAGGTTTAGCCTAGTAGCTAAAGTAGTTTTGCTCTGAGGAGTCCGAGGCCTGAGACGCGACGACTCCGTAACGCGCCGTGACATTAACCTGACCCAACCTGATCCGAGTCGAGCGAGTGATTCGTTTCAACGCCGCGAAGAGAGCCACTCTCGTTTCGCATGGCGCACAGCTGACGAACGCGCACAATCGTTCTGCACATACGTTCAGTATGTACGATGTATAATATATGTATACATACGTACATCGATGTGCCGCGCCGCATTGTTTATGACGAGTAGACTTCTAAATCGCGATACAGGTCCGGCACCGATCTGGTCAGACACTCTGTATGGACGATGCTTTCTCTCGTCAATAGAGATGGTAACGATTGTTCTTTGGAGCATTAAACGTTGAATGCGCCGGAAATCGAAGTTGTCTTCATCACAATCGTTTATAAATCATTTTAAGAATTTTCGACGAACCTAACCTTTCCAACATTTATGGACTATATATTATTAAGACATCGACGAAACTTATTCATAACTTGCTGAAGATGGTTTGAAGAAAAATCGAAACGTCCAAAAAATTTGTATCGACACTCATGGTAGATCAATATATTATGTGAATATCATTCGAATTTTTGTTATATAATTTGCGCACCAATTGCCGCGCTGTATTAACGCTCTCATTGCCCGGATATTTTATTATTGTATTTTTTAATTTCGTAGCCCTTCTTTTATTTATTGATTTATTCTGATTGAGCCATATTAATAATTTATTTTATATACGCGGGCAAGATGATGCATTACCATAATAATTTTAATTTCACTTTTTCATTTATTAGAACTCACTTTGGTTTAGATGTTTGCGAATTTTTGAAGAAATTTTATAATTTGATTAAATTAAGCGTGAATATTAGAGTGCGTATGAATACTCCGACAATTTATGTAATGTTATTTGTGTTTACATTGAACATTACCCGATCGGCGTCGAAACGTTTGTACGAATATTAAATATTCTTTATATTGTAACTGGCTCGTAGTCCGTCTTTTATTTATTGATTTATTTAAATTTTGTTTTTAAGAATTTTGCATACCTTTTATGTTAAGGAATCATTTTTAATATATACACTGAAATGAAAAAAAAAATTTCGTTAATCTTATGTGTTTTGTAGAGATGTAACATTTTTTTTATAAATAGAAGGTAGAAGGAGAAACGTAAATTAAGCTCGTGCAAGTTTCCTTAATTTAGATTTAAAAATCGTTAGCCGATAATTTCTTCTATTTTCCAATTCGCTTTTTCAATAACGATATCAATTAATTATTGTTGATAACTTCCGCGAGTACGCCAATGTGCAAGAAACTGGCGCGCAAGAGCAAAAGTTGTATCGTCACGTTTACCCCTCGCGACGGCGACGTTTCGCCGCAAATGCCACGTTGACTTTGTTAACCTATCTCGGTGAAAAATGAGTCTACCCACTGTGCGAGACTATTGTATGCTGGAAAAGATAGGCGCCGGGAGCTACTCAACCGTGTATAAAGCATTTAGAAAGGTATGTACATTTTTCGGATTCTTTTCCTCTCTTCCTCGAAAAGATCTAGGTTAGGTTCGTTCGAGTGCCTCGAATCATTCAATAGGGATCGATCGTGTATTTGTTGCAAAAGAAAACATGAAAATATTGTGTTCGCGTATGTAAAGCTTCTTCTTACACATCCTTTTTTCTCTTTGGTGATTCGTTTAATTCGCCAGAGGATATAAAATACGACGCGTTATCGCCGGAAACTCGATAGTGTGCGCATCCCGTTCGTGATGTCGCATGCAGGGTCGGACCCTCTTTCCTTCGAGCCTTCAACTTTAAGATACCTACACGGAAAGAACGTGTCTAACTAAATTTTTTATAAAAATTTTTTTCTAACTAAAGAGAGACCGAAAAAATCGCCCGTTTTTAGCCCATACACCACACTAACATCAATTGATATTCACTGAATATTCACTGAAAATTCAATTGATAAACACTGAATCAATCAATTAATATTTCAGAAACGTTAAATTGCAACATTGCGAAAGTTGCAACAACATCGCGAAATGTAGATTCAATGTTGAAGAGACGTTGCAGAAACATCTAATGTCCGTTGAATTGCAACGTCTGTGAGACGTAAAATATTTTTCGCATATTAATTAATTCAGTTTTATTATTAAAATAAAAGTATTATTGATTAACATCATATTCTGGAACACATACGACAAAATTATAATTAGAAAAAAACGCTTTCTCTCTCAGCTGGAAATTAATTTCCTTATTTTCCTAAGCGATCATCCATCCAATCTTGCACCTGATCCAACGGTGCTTAACCTCTGCAATCATACGGGAACTGCTGCTTCGATGATCCACGAACACTGAATGTTAGTGAATGTATAAAATTGTGACATACAGATATGTAGAAAGACCACGAATCGATGTCGCGCATTGGACTGATCAAACAAACAATATCACACGTACGAACATTCTGCACGTGCGGCCGATTCCCGCGTAAACGTATATCGTTTAGAAATGAGTTTCGCCGCAAATGCCATTTAAAAGATCAATTAGAGTGATTTAAATTTGCTATTTACATGATATTTTATTATTGTTCATTTTTTACAAAATAAAATAGATTTTGATATGTAATTTATTCAATGTAGTTTCAACGTTGCAGCAACGTAACAATCAATGTAGAAAAATCAATAAAGATTCAATTTGTGGTTCAATTTGTTCAATATTGTTTCAATGTTGCAGCAACATTAACAATCAATGTAGAAGAATCAATATAGATACAACATTGATAAAACATTGACACTTCAACATTCTACATTGCAACATTTCAGCAACATTCTTTTTGTGCTGTATGGTCGATTTTGGGATTAAACCGTGTGCCAAATTTTACCTTATAATATAGAATAATCTTTAATATCATATTTCTTACTTATTTATTATTGTTTTTCTAATGACATGTTTGGGCCGTAAGGTTATGTAGCGCTCAGTGAGTGGTGGAGTGACTTTTAATTACTGAGCGCTACATAACCTTATTTCCCAAACATGGCATTAGAGAAATAATAAACAATAATAAAAACGGGCAAGAAACCATCTTTTTTTCGGTTACTCTTTTTTTTTTACAGATTCAAAACTAACCTTTAAGAGGATTCCAAAGACTATTTCATAAAGTCACATTGTAAATAGTAGAGAAAGGTCGCCGATATCATCATACCACTTTGTTTTTAGACAGTACCTATTTCTTAAACAAAAGATAAAAATAAAACTTTAAATACATATATATAACATATTTAAATAATACAATTTTTCATTTTCGCTTATTATTAAGATAATATATTTCAGTTTTACATCTTTTTAGATAAAATAATTTTGAGAAACATACTATTGTATCCATTGTTAATAAATTGTTAATTAATGTTTATTTTCCACAAATAAGGCTTTTTTTAAAAAATCTCCTGTATGGATACTTTCTGCAACCACTATATATGTATACACTATATATACTGTATATACTGTATATACTATATATGTACTTTAATTAACTAAACAGATCATGTTTTTATTAGTAAAGTGCAATAGTTAGTTTCTGAAAAATAAGGGGGTGTCGTTTTAAGAGACCTATGTCAGTATCGGCGATTTTCCCCTACTTACACACAGATGATTTACGTGTCATTGGGCGCGTTCAAGTTGACAAAGCGGCTAGCCTGCTCGCCGAGCAAATAAACATAATTGTTACTTATAGATCCAACCAATCATATTCAATCGCTCGGTAAGCATGCATAGCCGCTTTGCCGTCTTGAACTTGCCGATTGATACATCACTACCATGCTACTATATCAATATCTCACGCACATATACATGTAAATTTTCGTATAACAATAACGTTTTAATTAGACGTTTAAGGATACGGTCAACGCGATGTTACAAACGCTTTGAAGCGTTTTTTAATTGGTCATTTTGTAAAATTCTTTCTTCTAATTGATCCATCAAACGCTTCAAAGCATTTGTAGCGAAATTTTGACCACAGCTTAAGTGCAATTTTAAGAACTTCACGTTGTTTCTTCATGCAAACTACTAGTCTGTGGACTACTATTGTATTTCGTAAGTACAGATTGCATAGCTTTTATATGAAGCAATTGTTGTTACGACGTGACAACTCTGGAGCGTCATACCATTACCGGCACTCAAAACGATTCGTTACATTTTGAGTGCTGGTAACGGTAACGAGTTATTTCTATAAGGTGTGACGTTGCCAATTCTGTCAATATCATATGTTTTAAGGGGTTATATCTCAGTGAATACCTGAAAACGTAGGATAATTTTGGGATTTTTTTATAATTAAATAATAAAATAGCTGGAAATTCGGTTTGAATACCTTTAATGCAATATATAATAATAGCAATACCGGTATAATACCGGTATTACTGAAATATTATGCGTATACCGGTATTATAATAAAATTTCGGTTGAATACTAGTATTTGACGTCCAATACTGGTATTTGGTCTCAATTTTTCGTATACCGCTATTGTTGAATAGAGGTATGATTGATACCGGTATATAGTTGTTAATAAAAATATTTTGGTTTTTGGTCTCTGTTAATAATTTCGGAGAAAATTGACTGAATAATTGATTAGAATGGATCACCCTATACTTCTAAAATCTAGATTTACGGAAAAAAAGATTCCCGCCACTCTTCAGTCGAAATTTGAACTAAATTTGAAGCGCGTTTCAAATCGCGAAATCTTTAAAGTTATTATCGCCCTTTGTGATGATCATTCTTAGGACGGGAGTCAAGAGGTAGTCGCTATAAAGTGCGTGGATAAAGGCTCGCTCTCGAAATCGGCAGTCGACAATCTTGTGACGGAGATCAAGCTGTTAAATGTCCTCAAGCACGAGCATATCGTGGAGATGAAAGATTTTTTCTGGGACGAAGGGTTAGTTTTACGTGAGACTTTATGATATTATAATTGTTATTTTGTTGTTAAAATTGTTGCGGATGAGTAAATCAGATTAATCGTGCATAATTGATTTAGAAAGAAATTTTATTCGATCGACGTATCTTTTCTCCTGAAAAAAAAAAACAAACAAAAAGGTGCATTTGTTAACGTATAAAATAGGCATATATACATCGTCATGGAATACTGCGATGGCGGAGACTTGTCGAACTTCATAAAGAAAAAGCACAAGCTACCCGAAAGCACCTGTCGTAGATTTCTGCAGCAACTCGCATTAGCGTTAAAATATCTACGGGATCATAACGTCTGTCACATGGATCTCAAGCCGCAGAATTTGCTGTTGATGAGGAAACCCCAACTGGTACTCAAAGTTGGAGGTTAGTACGGATGTCTTTTTTCTTACTGTTCATTTCTTTTCGGAGATGATTCCAAGATCTTTTTGTTTTAACGATCATACAGAAAAAGCGGTTTTGCTAAAATATTTAAAAATTTTGCTAGATTTGCTGAATTTGAAAATAATTTTTTAAGCCTTGTGTCCGCAATGCTAGAAATCGCTCCGAGATTTCAAACAGAGAGGAGGGGGAGAGAGAGAGAGAGAGAGAGAGAGAGAGAGAGAGAGAATTAACAAATCGCATTTAAACAATTCGATCACATGCAATGACTAGAGACGGAAAAAAACAGGTTTTTTTTTACTTCGGAGAAAGAAATTAAGTGAAAAATGGATTTCTCTCTCTTATAATAAAAAACGGTTTTTTTAACCGAAATGATATAGAGAATTCATGAAAAATACATATAATAGAATTTATGTTAAACAATAAGAATCTCTCTATTGAATCGTATATGTGAAAACACAACCAATAGGAAATAGGAGATAACAACCTATAATGGTCGAAGCTGGATCTTTAATGCTTAAATAATTTTTCATGTGAATTTTTGTATAAATATGTATATACTTACTCCCTAGAAAAGTGGTACGCTAAAAATTTGGGAATAGGATCCCGCATGTTTCATATGAAAAAATGACACCGGTCAAATTGCTCCGTTTTGAGATATGTTGTACTTCTTGTGATTCTGAACAAATGTCTCCATTACCACATTCACATAAAAACAACAGATAAAAAGATATAGCGCTTTGAAATCACAAAATTTGAGTGCTGCCATATTTCCTTAAGATAACTTGATGTTTTCTTTTGTGTGTAATAGATAAACGCACATATACATACAAAGGATCAGATTCCTGTCACGTCCACGCCGTTGATCCTGGATAACGCTAAGAGCAGGATACACACGCATCACACATACACACATATGCACGCTCTCTCTCTCTCTCTCTCTCTCTCTCTCTCTCTCTCTCTCCCGCAAACAAATCTATAACAATTACGTCTTCAAAAAATCTAATTTTCCTGGGTTAACAGTTCATATTTCAGTTTTTTCAAAAAATCATATTTTTATGATAAAGAAAGATACAAATAAAAATAAGTAATGTTTTGAAAAGAAAATGTCAACTTTAAGAAAAAAAATACGTTATATTGATTTATTCGAAAACGTATAATTATTTGCACGTGTGAAATGGGGGCATTTTTATATATGCTCGGAATAATGAAATTGGAGATATGTCAGATATTTTCTTTTTTAAAAATGCAATGAAAATATTTTCTATTAAATATATAACAATTTCGACATTATTTACTCACGATTTTATAACTCCGAGAAAATAGAATGATCGTTTCGCCAAAATGCCCCTCTCGCAAAAATGCTTTTTTTTAAATGAATATATGTTTTAATTATAAGAAGGATAGGTCGGGGAGGTCCTGTTCAATGGCCTCCTCGTTCACTTGATATTACGTATAGGCAAACAAGACACTTGCCTATGGCGGCAAATTTGAGGAGGCGGCAAATTTTTAAAGACATAAAATTTTTACACAGTTGAGACAAATTATTAATTTGTTAATCTAATGTTTTTACATGAGTTACACCGGGCATATTTTATTAGAAACAATATCATTTCTTTTTATTATTATGTTAAAAAAACGTTTTTTTAATGTTAAAATTATTTGAATAAAATTAGAAAAAATACAATGTGTAGAACATTTTTTTAAATTTATTATTATTTATCAACAATACCTAAAGCCTTAGACAATTAATTTGATTAATCAATTGTAATTTTTAATTATATTAAAATCTTTTTCACTTACCGAGTTTTGAACCTGGGACCTCAGGGTTATGAGTCTCGTACTTTATCCGTTACGCTACTTATACTACCGATGCACAAAATTCTTATTGTCCATATATGGTACGTAATTATATTATGTTAACTCCTCTTTCGTGATTATTTTTTTATTTCGACCCGTTTTTTATTAATTTTAATTTTAGAAAATAAAATTTTTTAAATATTTATAATAAACGTCTGATAAATGTTGAATAAATGTTTTTTAAATCATATTTTGAATAAATAAATAACGTAAAACAAACATTTAATGAACATCAAGTAAATGTTTAATAAACGTTAGATAAACGTTTAAAAAATGTTCCTTCGAAACATTATTTCAAACGAAAAATTATTGTTTAATAAACGTTTAAGAAACGTTAAATAAACGTTTAAAAAAGTTTTTTCAAACCATTATCTCAAAGGAATAATTAATGTTAAATAAACATTTAATAAACATTAAATAAACGTTTAAGAAATGTTTTTTCAAATCATTATTTCAAATGAATAATTAATGTTAAATAAACATTTAATAAACGTTAAATAAACGTTAAATTAATGAATATTGAAAATGAATCATGAAAAATGTAAAATTAATGAGAAATAAATATTTAAAAAACACTTAAAAAACATTATCTGCTGATTGGGTTTTGATGTAAAAGTTTTACAGCTTGTATAGATTGAAAATAAGCGGGAAGCGGGATTCAGCTTACTCGAACAAACACTACTGAGTTGTGGAATTAAGATTTAAAGCATAGAAAAAATGTTTTTCCTAAAACGAAATTACGTGCTTTGCAAGGACTCGGAACAGAATTCTGACGTCAGCAAAGCCGAAATTCCGTGTAGTTGCGCGGTCTTGCGATAGATGGTGCTGGCATATGTTAAATAAGGACAGATATATGCGTTTGAGTGAGATAGAACGATATATAATATAATGTAAGAAATGAATCAAAGATGTCACTATTATCGAATTTGGAATTAAAAAAGTCTGCACTATCGATCTTGATTAAGTTCGGTAATCGCGGTTTAGGATTCCCTTAACTTTCAAAAAATTAAATTAAAAGTTAATAGTTACCGATATAACTATGTAAAATATAACTATGTAAAGTTAAAAAGTTAAGAGTCTAAAATTGTAACTTAATGAAGTTAAAATTAATTAACTTTTTAATTTTTTAACTTTAACTTCTAACTTTTTAATTTAGCATTACCATACTCTAAGGCATTACCCAACCTTGGTTATATATAATATTATATGATATCACATATTGTTATATATAACTGTATATGAGAGTATACATAATTATATATAATTGTATACAATTATATATAATTTTATGCAATTATATACATTTATGGTATATATGATTGTATATGGACTATTTTTTCCCGGGCGGTTTTTTTATACTAACTATGATATGCTTGTGCATTTTGTATGTAAGGGCTATCACACACAAAATTACATAAGTAATGGCCCTAAGGCTATATCTACACAAACTTACATAGCCGCATATATGCGTAAAGAAAATTATCTAATTGCATTTCTCTTATAAAGTCGCACATAAAATGTGATTGGATAATTTTCTTTATGCATACATTTATGCGGCTATGCAAATTTGTGTGGATATACTTTATATAGTCCTGGAGCACGAAAAATATTGTATACGAAAATGTAAGAAAAACAATTGTAATATATGTTATATTATAGATTTCCCTAGTATTTTTATGTACGATATTTTTCGAGAATAAGATCCTTATAAGCAATAAGCAAATCGACCAATCATAAGCTGCGTTCGGAAATGTCGCTCGGATGCCTCCGATGCCTCGGATTCATTCATCTGTCCTTGTTTAACATTAATCAGAGGCATCGGAGGCATCCGAGCGACGTTTCCGAACGCAGCCATAGTTGAGATATAAGACATAGACATCATAACGTAAGCCATAGCAAATCCAAATAAAAATGTTGATTTACTTACTGCTTTAAGTTCTTTCTGTATACTATAACCTTTACGTCCTACATAATTATTTTAAACACAAATAAGCGAAGAAATCTATTCAGTCATAGCGGATCTTATTGTTAGCATCTGTAATAATATTTTTGTATGAATTTTACAATTTCCAGTTCAATCAAATTATGCGCCGATTATTTATCTTGAAATACAATCTTAAACTGAAGTTGGAATACGTAATATCACAAATTAAATTGATAATTAAAAATTGACAATTTAATATTATTGATGATGATTTTTAAAATAATGTAAAGAATTTATGCGGAAAATATCATCATAGGAATTCAAACTTGGAATTCTCTCATTCTGTAACGCGGGCACATTCATAATTTTAATAATCCAACAAAATAATTTTCAGATCAGACTTGTATTTAGCTAAATTTTTAGATACTTTAGCAAAATCGTTCTTTCTGTGTACTCTCGATGGCAAATCATTATTTATTTTGCGCCATTTCAGATTTTGGTTTCGCACAGTACCTCTCGAACTCTGAACACAAATTTACGATACGAGGCTCACCTCTCTACATGGCACCCGAAATGCTATTGAAACACAAGTATGACGCTCGTGTCGATCTATGGAGCGTCGGAGTGATCATGTACGAATGCCTTTTCGGGAAAGCTCCCTATTCCAGTAGTAGTTTTCAAGAACTAGCAGAAAAAATCAAGGACAGCCGACCAATAGAGGTGTGATTCCATTGTTAATTGGGGATTATCCCGAATTACCTAGAAGCGTATTCAGATTCTTACCTGAGTGCTCCCCGGATGTCATGTCATCCTTGTCTAACGTTAACAACAAGGATGGAATGATACCTGAGTAACACTCAGGAATTTGAATTCAGCACAAGATGATGTTTTTATATCCCAGCAGAAAGAAAGTGAAACACAATTTTTACAATTAATATCGAACAATTGACAATTTCCTCTTCCATATTTATTTTTTCATTTATTCTTATTTTTCTTAGAAAATATTAAATAAATCTATGATTTGAAATACTAATAAATTATAGGACAATCAATAATATACAATATCTAGTTAACAATAATAAATTTTAATTGGAATATATAAATTATCCCAGACGTTCGTTTTCACAATAAAAACTAGATAACTATTACCGAGTTGAGATTAATTTTATTTATACGTTCTTTATTTTATTTATACGTTCTTTATTTTATTTATACGTTCGGCTTAGCCTTAAACATTTCGATATAACATTAGCAATTCTTTATATTAAATGCACGAATCGTATTAAGTTTCGCAATTTTTTTCGAGTCCAGTAAAAATATTGTGACCATATCGCGAGATAAATAATTTAGTGATGTGCAAAGATTGTCAATCCGATGGCATATAAAAAATGTGCATTAATTCGCGTTAGAGTTCAAACGTGATCGTGAATCACTTATGAGAATTAGTATTATTCATCGTAGATGCCGAAGGCGGCTCATGTGTCGGCGACGTGTAAGGATTTGCTTATGGCTCTGTTGAAGCATAATCCCGCCAATCGGATAACGTACGATGAATTTTTCGCACACGATTTTCTAGACCTGGAACACGCACCTACGAAAGAAAATTATGAGAAGGCAGCCGCATTGGTACACAAAGCCGTTGAAATGGATACCGAGAAGAATGCAAAAGAGGCATTTTATCTTTACTGCGAGGCGCTTAGATATTTCATTCCGATATTGACAGGTAAGATTGTTTCGTATATCGTTAATGTTCGTATGCGTTTCAATTTAGACTTCTTAAAATTTTTATAAATGCTTTATTATATAATTATACGTCTATTCAATTAGACGAAAGTGATATAAAACGAAAGGAGGTATTACGACATCGCATCAGCGATTATATAAGGAGAGCAGAAACACTTAAAGTGGCATTTATGCCTCAAGATGAAAACATCGGGAAGCGCCCGGCGCCTGAAAATAAAGGGAACGCTTCGTCCTTGCAAAGGATACCATCCTTAGAAAAAAGCTCGGCATTCACCTATAACGAATTACGTTTGTATCGTATTGGAGTTTCCAAAATGTTTATCTCAAATGAAATGTTACCTGAATGTTATACGAATGTTATTTTTCATTATCTACATTTTAAACTAAAATATTATCGTTTAAAATAACAGCGTAAAATTCTAAATTATTAAATTATAAAAGGTAGCTGTGACGTAACTTGCTTATTAATAGGGGTTCTCAGTAAAAGTACTACAAATATGGTGGATGCACTTGAAATAGGAGAAGTTGCTGAGCAATATCTCGCTGAGGGTAACTATGCTCTGACTCTAGAAAAATTTCAGTCTTGTCTAAGTGTACTTGTACCTCTGCTGGGTAAGGAACCGGCAGGCCGAAGAAGGGATTTGCTGCATAAGCAGGTGATTAGATGAATCAGAATATTACACCCTACTGGGGTGCGTTCCAATACTCGACTCCATCAATTCCGAGTATCTTTTATCTTTGTTCTTCACCGAACGTTGAACTTTGTTTTTCACCGAATGTTGAAGACAGTTGAACAAGGATAAAAGATACTCGGAGTTGATAGAGTCGAGTTTTGGAACGCACCCCTGAAGTATCTAAACTTATTTCTAAAGTCTTCGAACGTTTTTTTATGAACATTAATACGAAAATAAATTAAAAGATATTAATATAGATAAATTACGCATATCGAAAAAAGATATCCACATATGTATCTAATATATGCTAAAAAATTTAGTAAATAATTCGATAGATGTACTGATAAATGATCGCAATTCTTTTAAAATCTTCGGATGATTGTACGCATCGTGACAAATCGATTCTATGGAAAGTAAATTTGTTATGTCATTTAATTAAAATGGTCTTAATGATTTTTTACGCCGCTGTCCCTTCAAGGATATCTTGTTGTGTTTCTTCACTATTCAAATAGCTTGAACGAAAGGTATAATAAGAAATACTAACCTATTCCATACAATGACACAAGAAAAGGTTCAAAAGGATAGTGTGGATTAATTACACGCTGATAGATTCATGAATTTGTGTGTTGTTAAAATAAGACGGAAGCATGAATAACAATTTACCCTGAGAATATCGTACAAGTTTGAACGCGCGTTTGGTGTTCGTACATGTTACACGAGGTGGCTACTCGGTGAGAGGCGCTTACTCGTGAGGCGATGCACTACTGAAAATGCATTTATCGGAGGGTTGAACTGTTGTGTTATAATATGCTATTATTTTATCATTTATAAATTTAATTACAATATGATAATAATATTTATTGAAATTTTTAAAAAGGATTTAAAGGATGACATTGTTATTTTTATTTTATTGTTTTGTTGATTCTTTAGATCAATATATATATATATGTATATGTTTGTATACATTCATAGTTTTTAATATTTTTGATTGATAGGTACAAATTTGGATGAAGGAAGCCGAAAGTACCAAAGGGTTGTTGGCTACCAAGGATATAGATTCTTTGCATCGAACATCCGACGAACAATGTGTATTACAATAATAGATGTTTATATAACTGATTATTGTAGAATAATTATTTTAGCTGTCAATATTCTCCGCACCATTGTACAAACTTTGTCATTTGTCACTTTGTACCATGCATTATTTAATTAATTAATTAATGTAATAAATAATTTTATATTTACTTATTATAAATTTTAATTATTAATTTAATATTTGCTGTATGAATATTAATTATTATGTCTGCCTACACATAGCACAAAAGTCAACCCAGGTAACATGGTCGGAACATTTCAGCAATACTGCGGCGACGTTACAACATTTCAAGGGCCTTATTGTCGAAAAACCTCACATACGAAAATAGTCGCTGCAAATTGTTACAATTCTGTCATATGGGTGTATCTAAACCTATATTTTTCAAATATTAATTAATTGCAAATAGTTGTTCCAAGGATCAACTAAAAAATCAATATTTTCAACAAATATAAAGATGGAAGAACTTTCTAGAAGGTGAGGGCGCAAGCATCGCTTTACGATTTTCGGTACGATCACGTGATCAAATAACGGTCGCGGCGCGACCGCCTTGACATTTCATGGAAAATTCCCATTTCTGAGCTGAAAACTCCCCCCCCTCCTTTTTGTTTATGTATATATGTACATCCCCTCCAATCGTTTGCCCCCGCTGCGCCATTCGTCGTTTATAATGCGGAACCCCAACCACGTGACTGTCGGCACCTATGTACTTTCTCCCACTCCTACGAAATTCTCGATCCCCCACCAGGCCAAAATACAAGACCGGATGTGCGGCAACGTCGCAGCTGTTAAGTACATAAGACGGAAAAGAGGGGGGAACCGAGGGGGAAACCGAGGGGGGGGACTGAGGGAGCGAAAGGGAGGGAAAAGGGGGGAGGTAAGCGGGAGAGACGAGGAGAGAGTATGAGAAAGAACTGGCAACGTGTGCCACATTCAAATCTGATCTGAACCCCAGTCGGCTTCTTAGCAAAACAGTAGAAAACGCGGAACGAGAGAGAGTCGCGAACGACGTGTTGCTTCGTGTATGTACGTCTGTCACTATGTCATATCGCGCACCGGCGAAACGAGTCGAGACCCGGTAGTGCGCATCAACAGCGACATCGGCGGTGTGTTACGACGCGGTGTGTGATATACGCAAACGTATATGTGAGACGCGCTTAGTAAATGTATTGAGACGCGCTCAGACACGTTGAGACGTGTTTCTTCGTTGGCTCTCTTCCTCTTTCTCTCTCTTCTCTCTCTCTCTATCTCTTTCTCACACACACAACACACACCGACACACACATACTCTCTCTTTCCTAGTTTTACACGCTTACCACGTTCGAAGAAGTAACAAAACTCAACGAACGCGTCTTTACCGTGACGGGCTTTCCCTCGCGCGTGCCGACTACGACGCGACGACGGCGACTTATTCTTCCGGTTCCTTTGTCAATCACTTACGAATTTTCGCGCGCGCTCGTGCCCGCGCTCGTCGGCTCGCAAGCACTCAATTTCATGTAAATGTCCCGGGTGCGCATAGTGGCCGTAGCACGAATCAGATTCCACACGACGACGTGGAATTATGTGCATGGATGTCCAGTTTAACGAGAAGATGGGCGACAAGAGCACCGACGAGGACGTACAGATCATCGACGTATTCATCAACAAAGGTAAGATTGAGGTTAGGTAGGTAGGTAGCGACCGTAGCGACAACAGTTGTTGAGTTCTACGAGTTTGAGGAACTTATGCTTTAGTGAGTTTAGAATGGTGGCGGCAGTGGCAATGATAGTGGCAACGATGGTGGCCATAATGGCGGCGGTAATAGCGAGGGTTCGCGCGCGTATCTTTATCTCCTCCCCTTTCCTCGGTCGCTCTTTTACGTGCGATTTCACCGTCCTCGTTCTTCGTGGCGCATAGAGTACGATCCCCCTTCTACGACACGTTAACGTTGGTACCAAAGAGTCGCGGAAGACTCGCGGGCACGTCTTCCGCAAGACGCGCTTTTCGCGTGTTACCGGCGAAACGTGGTAGTACCGGTAGAAACATGAGCGTCTGTGCCGTAAGAATGTTTGTGTTAATAAATGTCGGTATTAGAAAACTATAAATATTAACGAGGTGTCGATGACCGCCTACTTGAGCCAGCGGCACACGATGCACGGTTTCTTATTTTATTGCTTGCGTTCTGGTAAATTGTTAGAATCGCACCACGCAATGTAATTAATTTCTGGTAGTTGCACTATATTTTCTAGCAGTTTAATCAAATGCAAAGTAATCAAGCGAGAAAACATACATCGTGTGCCGCTGGCTTTAATAAATGCAAACATCTTGTTCTCATTCGTGCATCAAATCTTACTAAAATTTTGCAGTTCCTAATATATCTACATATCCTCGCTGTATCATTGCACGCGCACGAACGCACACGAACGTACCGGACTAATGTATGCGACGCATAAGTATGCACGGATACATGGGGTGCGTTCCGAGTTACGCATGAAACGCTTGATGTATCGTTTTATCTCTTATTATTTGGTGAACAAGGACAAAGCATGATGAGCTTCATGCATAACTCGGAACGCACCCGGTCGTTTGCGCATGCACATATGTATATTTTTGAGTACAAGATTATAGAAAAATTACGCAAAGGAGGGCTTTTATAAAAGGTACATCGATCTGTTATTTGATACATTAAAATTTAATTACTGCTTTTGTAGGACACGTGATACATTGTGTTCTACACGGATCTATTTTTTATTCCCGCATCAGATTGCTCTGTAATTTTCTCGTTCTCGCCAAATATATAGCGAATTCGGTCACTTGCATTACACTAGATCAGTGCATAAGTATTAAAAGCTGCTTTACATGAAATTAGCAAAGTTAAATTGTAAAAATATATAAATATTTTAAACGATTAACTATCTACTAATGACTTGTCACATTATTTAATAAAATATATATATCATTTCATTGTCAAAGTTGATTATATTATATCACTGCATTGATATATTTTATATAAAGCAGCTTTTAATATGTACTGATCCAATATAGTGCGAGTGATCGAATTCACCAATATACGTTCCGAATTATGCACTATATATATATATATATATATGAGAAGCGCATGATGCATCATTTGTTCTTGTTGTTCACCAAATAATAAAGAAGGATGAAATAACACATCATGTGTAATTCGAAACGCACCCCTACTTCACTTTAAAATTTGTTCAAAGGTTTGTTCGCGTCGCATGCTCCAACATGTTCCAATATGCTCTTGCCTTTTACTCACTCCAACGCGCTTGATAGAGAGTGCTTTCCATTTGATGACCCAAGTCGACACAAGCCGTCGTTCTATCCTTCTTGACATTCGGAAAGTGACAAAGATAGAACGACACTTGTGTCATTAAATGGAAAGCACCTAGAGTGAGTAGGAGCATGTTGGAGCATGTTGGAGCTTGCGACGCGAACAAACCTTATAAGTGTACATTGTAGCCATAGAAAATATCCTCTTGTCAACACGGACCGAAGTCCATGACTTTTCTCTTTTATGGCTGATTACAATGAGAGTAATTATGGCCGATTATTCTCCTTACATTCGATTGTGATTGATTCAATTTTTTACGGATTACACAATTTTACTTCCATTGTAGACGGCCCATTATACAAATTCACAAGTATTAATCCCGAAACATAATGGATATAGTGAGTTTTAAGTTGTAAAATGTTAGCCAATCACAGTTGAATGTGAGGAGAATCGAGAGGAGAATAATCGACTACGATTAGTTGATTTCTTACCTTAAGTAAGCTTAAGGCTTACTATATTTATTGTATTTCGAGACTTTGATCCGGTTTCATCAATGTAAGATTAATTTCGGTTCTCAACTTACTGTTTATCTTTTTCTAATTCTTTTAGAAAAAAATAAAAATTAAATTGAACCGAGATTAAAGTTAATCTTACATTGGCTGAACCGGGTCTAATCTATGTCTTCTTAGAGCTACTTTATGGATATCTACTTGAAATTGGGAGAAATTCTCTATTCGAATGATTTATTAAAAATCGCTGATGATTTAAACTTATTCTAAACACACACACGCATAGAAAAACGAAACGGTCAATGTAAAAATTGTCTATATAACAAGTAGAAAAGGTATATAAAACGATAGAGCTGCATTTTTACATCGAATAATATAATAGATAGCCATATTGTTTCGCGTTCTTTTTTATTAATTGAAGATACTTGAATTTCTCAATTATTTCGAGCTATAGGTAAGTATTTAATTGCGTTCAGAAATAGATCGGTATTCCAATTTGCGAAATGCCATTTCCAGAGATTCCTTACATATTTCAGTATCGATAGAATCCGCAATGATGAGATATTTAGATATTACATTAGACACGAGGTGGACATTTAGAGAACATTTCCGTGTAATACTCACAGGCCGAGAAAATGGCGGGAGCCCTTAGTCGTACAATGCCTAACTGGAGGGGCCCTAGCGAAAGATGAATGCATTGACGATTATGCGAGAGATCAGCTGGCCGTCGTTTTTATTCAGACGATACGTGAAAGACGACGTGTAACTACAACCTCTATTGATAATATTGATATTGATTTCTGCTTGCATTGAGTCTATCTGCATTGATATTGTTTTCTATATATATTTCTATCGTGATAAACCTGTTATTTACTTCATTGATGCATAGTATGAAGTACTAATCAAATATTCGGGTTAGACTTGTCATTTAAGTACTACAGTTTATTTAAAAAAAAAACTCCTTTTTTTTTCAATTTATGTTGAACTTCAATTTAATATCCAAAGATTTTTCTAGATACAACATCTTTTTTTCAATGTCACTTCCACAGTTTATCATCTTTCCGGCTTTCGACTAAAACTCCGATTTTTTTTTACCAAATCTCCGACTTTCCAGCATACGAAAAAATCTTGGTCTAACCACTTAAAATTTTAATGAGCCTTCTTCAAGTTCTCGCTTCGCTTTTCTTCTTGTTTTTCTTGTAAAAGATCCTCTAGCAGGTAGAAACCTTATAACAGAGTTACTGACCTTAAGACAAACTTTTGATTGGCCCGTCGTTTTTGTCAATTTCAGTAAGTTAGAATGAGATAGCATATACAGGATGTCTCAGAATAACCCCTAAATATTTCGTGTGCTGGTAGAACGGACTAAACTGAGTCGGAAAGTCCTCTACCACTTTTCAATTTTCGTAATAGTTAACAAGATATTAATTACTAAAAATCGTCGAATACTGGTCTTCAATAATTTTTTACTCACTTGCGAAAATACAAAATGGTACAGAACTTTTCGACGCAGTTTAGTCTGCACTACCAGGATATGAAATATTTGGCGGTCATTCTTGGACATCCTGTATAAAAAGACAATATTCCTGTGTAACAAATCAAACTAACAAAGACTCCTTATAAATCAAAAGAAATTGGAAAGAATAAGAGCAATAGGAATCAGGCGCAGAAGACGTCGCGGGTTTGTGTTGTCTCTGAAGAAGGCTCAAAAGTGAGCCGAAACATGTAAGCGCGTTTAGTAGAATACTAAAAGAAGTTTTACGCTTTATGGGTGTATTATTTGCGCGACGTCTTCTGCGCCTGATTCCTATTGCTCTTATTCTTTCCAATTTCTTTTGACAATATTCCTGTTTTTTTACTTTTGTTTTGACAAAATTGCTCGAGGCTAGACTCTGTTACAGAATCTTCAGTTAGATTTGATGACTTTTTCTGTTAATAACCGTGCTGCAATGAAGTTTCAGTTTTGGCAATTTCGTCGATCAGTAGTTGAATACTAGTCAAAAGATAGCAACTATGTGTGGTCACTTTCCATACAATATCTTGCAGCAACATTAATCGTTGAGCGTTACTTGTATTTTTTTACTAAACATCTTCGCTTTGTCTCGTCGACACTCAACACAATATACAGAATGTTTGGAATTTAAATGTTAAAACTTCGGGAGCGTGTAGGAGATCGATAAACTAAGAAAAAAAAGTCCTATAGAGACATGCTCGTTTTTGCTTTGTTTTGGAGAAAATTGCAAAAAAGACAAAACGTAGTTGCTTCGTTTTCGTACTGCCTTTGAAGTATTATCATCACTGAAATTGTGCACGAAAATAATAATAATAATTTCATTTTCAGGTAAAAACTTTTTTGTTTGTTTACCGTTCTGCCTTTATCCTGTAAATTTGTCAATTACTCGTTAGAAGTTATCGAGTGAATTACTTCTGTCACAATATGCCGCGTACATATTCTAACGTTGAATATGCTGGTTTTCGTGTATGGCTTCTGCGACAAAGGTCAACATTTTGAACAATATCTACATTAAGCAAGTGAATAAATAGAATATGAATAAGTAATGAGAAAATACAAAAATGAAAACTACATTTTGTCTTTTTTTGCTATTTTCTTCAAAACGAAGCAAAAACAAGCATATCGCTACAGAACTTTTTTTCTTAGTTTATCGATCCTCTACACGCTTCTGAAGTTTTGACATTTAAATTTCAAACACCCTGTATATTTATCTTTATCCTAAGTGCATTTTTGGAGATTTAAACAACGCGAATAGACCCATTTGCAATGTTACTGCTGCAATAATGCTAAAATGATCTGTGCTATATGTATTGCAAAGCTTGCTATTTTTTATTATTTAGATAATATATT